GTAATAAACTATCAGTGTTACGTGGTAATAAACAATCAGTGTTACTTGGTAATAAACTATTAGTGTTACGTGGTAATAAACTATTAGTGTTACATTGTAATAAACTATCAGTGTTACGTGGTAATAAACAATCAGTGTTACTTGGTAATAAACTATTAGTGTTACGTGGTCTTAAACTATCAGTATTACATGGTAATAAACTATCACTGTTACGTGGTCTTAAACTATCAGTGTTACTTGGTAATAAACTATCAGTGTTACATGGAAATAAACTATCAGTGTTACATGGTAATAAACTATCACTGTTACGTGGTCTTAAACTATCAGTGTTACATGGTAATAAACTATCACTGTTACGTGGTAATAAACTATCAGTGTTACATTGTAATAAACTATCAGTGTTACATGGTAATAAACTATCGGTGTTACATTGTAATAAACTATCAGTGTTACATTGTAATAAACTATCGGTGTTACATGGTAATAAACTATCGGTGTTACATGGTAATAAACTATCAGTGTTACATGGTAATAAATTATCTATTAGTGTTACATTCTGATGTATTTTCTTTAAAACTAAACTATTACCTCCCCTACTTTGATCACAGGTCTTCCAATACCCAATCCAATATTGTACAAATGTAGGATTTTTGTCCGTATTTGTTAAACATTTATAAACATTCTATTTATATATTGAGACCTAGCACGTGCATTATTTATCTTTAAACAATATCTACAACTTTTTATTGTTTAGTAGAGAAACTTTACCTGTTTTATTTTTTATACAGGTTTTCTTGCGACAATGTTTTTTCCTGAAAAACATCACACACAACCAACAAAGCTGACAGTTTGTAATGAAGAAAAAGAAAAAGTCTTTTACGGGACTGTTGTATTACGGAAATGAACCAATCATTGTCCGTATCACTTCATTATTTACAGTCCATACTTCTGATTGGATACAGAAGATGTATTTAAATAAAGAAGATTAACTCTTATGTTTTCCTTTTCTCCATAAAGTATGCTTAACTGTTTTCATGGTAAGGTGTGTTTTACTGTTGATCCTGTTTGTTGTAGTTATGGAAAATAAGCTGAGTTGTTGTCGAAAAGCTTTATTATAAACTTTTAAAAACTGTTACTACACTAGAATTATATAAAACAGTGTAATAAAACATTAATAATGTCATGTGGCTGTGTTTTGTCCACTATATCTTTTTGTTTGTTTTTTTTACCTGTCGTGTACAAGTGGTTTGAGTGTTCGGAGTATAAATTTGATGATTCATGGTTTGTATGTCCGAACTGTGAATCTGGTTGTTCATGGTTTGCATGTACGCACTGTGAATCTGGTTGTTCATGGGTTGTATGTCCAGACTGTGAATCTGGTGGTTCATGGTTTGTATGTCCGGACTGTGAATTTAATGGTTCATGATTTGTATGTCCGGACTGTGAATCTGGTGGTTCATGGTTTG